GGAAATCACTCACCTCATAGTTCTCCTTTAAAGTGAACCCGTGGCTTCAAAATGCTATGAGGACTGGCATCCTTGTTACTTTATCATACACTGTTATCATACTTTTTTACCTAAATTCCAGACAGATATAACAGACTGAAATGAATGCAGCTTTGTAATTAATAGTACAACATTAACCACTTGCTGCCCAGAGCAATTTCTTACATTGGCACACACATGATAAAATCTGACTTTTTGGCTAGAAAACAGCTTCAGACCCCCAAATAATGATATATTTTCTGGAAGCAGAGGCCCTGTATAATAAAAAGATGATAGTTACAATGTTTTATGACGCACGGTATTTGCGCAAATGTTTATCAAACCAGTATTTTTAGGATAAAATACACTAAAATGAACTTTAGTACACAGAAACAGAATATAATGCCCATTTTTTTAGTAAAATATAAAAGACAGGGTCACATCGGGCAAATAGATACCAAACATGTCAAGCCTTAAAATTGCATGCGTCAGGGAAACCGCCAAAAACGACAATAACCAAAATTTCAAGTAGGCAACGATTTAAACGTTTTTATGGCTCATCAGTTTTGCGTTAACAGTGATTGATGGGCCTAGAATTATTGATCTCACTCCGACACTTGCAACGATATATAAAATGTCTGGCGCAATTTTTGTTTTTGTACATAGGCGCATCCAACGCGTGTTTGCGCTATATGTGCGTGCACGTGGGGGGCATGCACGTTTTTTGCATTTTTAATTTTTCTTATGTTACTTTAATTTTTACAATTTCTTTTTTTTTTTACACTCAGTTTTATCGCATAGGGGCCAACACGCCCCCTATGAAATAGCAAATTTATTGTGACAGGTCCTCTTTATGGAGACATCAGGGGTCTTTCAAACCCTTAATGTCACCTAGGGACCCCAAAGAAGCTGATGAAGCACAGATCTGCTTCATTAGCTTCTTCTTCTGGCTCTAAGAGCCAGAGACTGTGTACAGTGACACCGGAAGTGATGTAATGCACATCACTTCCGGGTCCAGTGATCAGAGGAGAGATCCGCAACTGGAAGCCGCTGGTCTCTCCTCCGATCTATCAGGAGCAGCCGCGTTCTTGGTATAACCACTTCAAGTGGATGACGTACAATTACGTGAACCCGCGGGAAGTGGTTAAATGTAAGCGCCTAGCTGTAACCTGGTGTCAGCCTCTTGCAGTCCCTGTAGAGCAGGGCTTAGACTGCAGGGCTGGGCAAAGGGGTAGACAGAAGAGGCAACTGCCTCGGGCACTTTAGATGGAGCTAGCACAAAAAAGACATGACCTGCCTCCTATGTTCCTGAAGCTGTTCACAGCTCATGGTGGGAGTTTGGCCATTTGCCTTGAGTTCTAAAGGACCTTGTCAAGGTGCTGTTAGACTGCAAGAGGGAGACCCAAGACAAAGAGCCAATCAAGTCTGCTGCATGTGGTCACTTTTGGACCAACACGTTTCCACCCCACCCTTCAACAAAAGTCGTTTGAAAAATGTACTTTTGTGGAGCTGGGTGGTGTCGATATAGCAAGAAACAGATGAAATTTGGCCCATGTATGGCCAGCTTTAGAGGGATGACCTAATCAGTCTGCTGCTGCTCCTTTGCTGCCAATTCAAAAGACATATGGTGGAAAGGGGACACTATTGTACATGTAGACACTGTCACCTCCCATCCCCTTGGTTGTTGTGTGAGGGGGCTAAAGACTCTTTCCCTGCCCCAAGGTTACTGTGCCGGGTTTCTCAGTGGTAAGTCACCAACACCACCAACTTATGGAACAGATGGGGAACAAATGAGTGAGTATGTGCCGATGGAAAGGGCAGCAGTTAAAGTCCAACTCCAGCCAAACCTGTTCCTTTGATTATGGTTAGTTTATGGAAGGGTTTCTGCCACTCTCTCTGTCCCCCTGGGGAAAGTTTCCCTTCACTTCCTGTTTTGGTGACTGTGTGTTAGATGGATAGGAGATGATGGAAAATCTCTCCAAAGGGCAAAGAGACAACAACAACAACACTCGCCTAATAGAGTGCAAGGGTTAGATTTTTTTTTTTTGCTGTCTTCCCACAGCAGTAACACTTGAGCCGTACCCATAATTTCTAGTCCCGGTACAGGAAATGAGAAGAAATATCTAAAATGGTGTCCGCAACTGCTAATAAAAAAATCTGACGGGATTTCTAATCTGGGAATCAAAGAACAAAACAGAGCGCCTCCATAGTGTAAAAACTAAATTTATTGGTACAACACACCACTTGAATTGTACTTACAAAAAGTCGGTAGTTAAAAGCATGTAAGGATCGACGGAACTCGAAATCTCTAGCAGCGGGAGTCCGAAAGGATGTATAACATCAGCGTCCTCTGCCCCTGTGAGTTCAAAAGGTTTATGCGTTTCTGGGGCACGCCCCCTTTATCAGAACCTCGAGATTTCGAGTTCCGTCGATCCTTACATGCTTTTAACTATCGACTTTTTGTAAGTACAATTCAAGTTGTGTGTTGTACCAATACATTTTGTTTTTACACTATGGAGGCGCTCTGTTTTGTTCTTTGTTTCCCAGATTGGTGGTCTATGTGACCTGTGGGAGCTGCCTCTATTGTGTTTCAATCATCGCTACAGCTGGCCCACTTTGCAGTCAGAGGCACCGGTATTGGGTTTTTGGGGTTTCTAATCTTATTTAATGTGTCAGTTGCTTATTGGTGCCTTGCTCAATTGCCAAACATCAAGCATATTATAAATGCAGTCATTAGTAGGCACCATAAGGTGTTCATACGTACCCTCATCTTATCACAGTTCTGCTCCATTGCTTCTAATCGAGATTAATTTGCACACGGTGTACAAATCAACAAGTCAGAGCTTGGGTTGACACCTACCCACCGTCAACCCCTTCCAACCACCACCACCACATCCTCATCCTAGAGTGCAGATATCTCAATGACTGTGACTTTCATCAAATCCAGGGCTGGGGCATTCTTACCCTAGGCATCCAAATTGCATGTTTTCAGTTTGGGGGTTTCCACCAAAATATATACCATCAGATAATGATGCCTCTCACTGTCTACCTGTGTTAGTTTATGTACCCCATACCTAGTGATAGAAGTGAGCCAAACTTCTAAAGGTAGGAAGCGCAGACACATAATGCAGCAGCCTCCCAAACCTTCCTGTCATGGCTGAATCTCCAAAGCCAAAGCTTCCTGCACATTCTTATTGGCTAGTGAGACTGCCCATCATAATGATTGGCCAATGAGAATACGTGGGGGGAGGGAATAGTGGCAAGCTTTCCACTGGTCAAATAATACATTGCTGGAGATTGCTGTTCTGCATCATGCTCCCACTGTATTCTACGTATGATGATACTTAAAAAGAGAGAGCCCAGCAGATAGTCCTTAGTCCTCCAGAGGACCAGTGCTTATCTGCACATTTAGTGCCCATTCATACCTATGCTTTGGAGTTACTGCAGACCACGTTAACGCACACATTAGTGCATTGCTGTGCAATGTATTTGCCGTGGGAACGTGCACAGGTTGTAGTGCACCAAAATGAGCGGCAATGCACAACTGTGTCGCATTGCTAAGAAATGCTGCATGTCCTTTTTCTTGGCCTTTCTGGTACGTTGGAAGCTCATTCAAAGCTCATTCATACCTATGTTCCAAGGGTCTTCTGGCTCATCTGATGAGGTCATCAATCTTTCCTCTTCTCCGCCATTGGAGACAGTCCTCACTGCTGCTTTTAATAGCACTAATGTAATGACATTTGAGCACCATTTAATCTTGTAGTGCTCTGAACCTAGTCTGCGTGATGATGCCACTACTGGGTGGTGCCATGGCAGTCTGAGCTCAGAGGAAGTTGGTTGGATGATGCTGACCTTCATTCAGCCAGGTACACTGGCTTTATAAAATATAGTGATAAGGTAATAAACATGGGGGGGATGTGTTGATGGAAAAAGTAACATTTCAGTTTTTAGGTAGATACAAAATAGGCTTCCCTGAAAAGATGAGAGTTCAGGAATCACCTAAAGCCGCATAGAGTAGGAGATAGTTGGACAGATTGAGGTAGGAAGTTCCAGAGGATGTGGAAGGCTCTGGAGAAGTCTTGGAGGCGAGCATGGTAAGAATTAATGAGGGAGCTAGAGAGCACAAAGTCTTGGGAGGAGCGAAGAGAACAGTTTGGGTGATATTTAGACCTCATTTACACCATTGCAAAAGCGTTTCAGCACGTTTTTGCCTGGTTTTAATATGCTTTTCAGCGCGTTTCACAGACGTTTTCTGTTCATAAGCAATAGCATTTTAAGGAGCGTTTTCAGTTCATTTTACAGATGTACAATGAAAAGCAGTCTCTGCTGCAAAAACACACTAAAAAAATTCGCAAAAACGCGCTGATCCGTGCATTTCCATTGAAGTCTATGGAGCAAAACGAGCTGATAAGTGCCACCAAAGAAGCTCAGGGACTATTTCAAACACCAGGTGTATTTTTACGCGCGATTCAGTGCGTTTTTGTGAACGGCCCCAATAGGAATACATGGGATTTTTGTTGCATGCATTTCAGCGTGGAAAAAAAAGGCGTGTGAATGGGGCCTTAGAGATGTGGTTGGTGAAGTAGCTGGGGCCAGAGTTGTCAATGGGTTTGTATGTTGTTTGATAGTATTTTTCATCTCAATCATTGGGTCATCAGAATCCATTGGAGGGATTGGCAGAAAGGGGCAGGGGGGCCACTGAACAGTTGGAAAGGTGGAAAAGTCTGGCAGCAGTATTCAAAGGAGTGAATTAGTAGCTTGGTGGTGGTGTTGTTGGATAAAGTGCAACTAAAGCCCAAACTTTTTTTTTTTCTAGTTTTGGATAGAGTGGAGAGGGATTAAAACACTAATAGTAAATAAAAGTAATTCACCGGAACACACTCGAAGGGTTTTTAAAGCATTGATATGTTTATTCAATACCCAATGTCACATACTGTCATACGGTGCTAACGTTTATGGTCCGTACAGGGATCCTTCATCAGAGCGACAGTGAAGGATCCCTGTGCGGATCCGAAACGTTAGCACCGTATGACAGTGTGCCGGTGAATTACTTTTCTTTACTATTAGTGTTTTGCACAGCGCCATCCGTGTGGTCACCTGGGCACCACATATACCTTTTGGTTTTGAGACCGTGGGATTTGGACTTTGGATTAAAACACCTGGCATGTTTTTATTGCGCTCTGTGTCCCCATTAGAGAGATTAACCCTCTTTCTTTGTCCTGGTGACCATTATCACTGAAAGTAAAAAAAATCCAAATTTGGGGTTGTCACCAGAACAGGATAGGAAATCTTCCAATGGAGGCACCAGTTCTAGTGACCCTGCTGACCACCAGGGATATTGTTAACCTGAGAGGGATTTTCCCTTACTCCCTGTTGTGGCTGTTGGACTGAAAGTGAAGGGAAATCTTCCTAATGGGACACAGATGACAAAAAAAGCTGACTCTTTCCTTACTCTATCCAAAACTTTAAACTTTTGGCTTCAGTTCTACTTTAAGGAGAAGCGTATTTTCGGACATAAGCAGGGTTATTCACAAAAGAGTCAAGGGTTTGGAGAAGGCCGGAGAAGTGAATAATCTAGGACAACATAGCTGATTAGGAAAAAATCTCCAATTCAGCTCACTGTCAAGTTCAGCTATGTTGTCCTAGATTGTTCACTTCTCCCGCCTTCTCCAAACTCTTCACCCTTTTGTGAATAACCCTGTAGTTGTCCTTTGAAGTACTAATGGCGCCAGTTATCCAACAGGAAGTATTGCAGGGTTCAGTTACAACGATTCCTGTGGCTAATTGACCTATTTATAAATGAGAGTATGGGATATCAGCTAATTGCCTGGACTCTCATCCATTATACTACGTAGTGAAATCTTATACTACGTCACCAATCCACATAAAGGATGTCCTGGAGCTGGAGAGAGTCCAGAAAAGGGCAACAAAACTAATTAAGGGGCTGGAGGACCAAAGCTATGAGACAAGGTTACTAAATGTAAACATGTTCACGCTGGAAGTGAGGCGATTAAGAGGGGACATGATTTTGATACACAAAATGTTTAGTGGTGATGGCAACATCAGCAATAAACTTTTTTTCTGTAAACTCCCTAACAAGGATTAGAGGCCACCACCTAAAATTGGTGGAGAAAAGATTATACCACAAGGGGCGTAGGGGCTTCTTCTCAGTCAGAGTGGTTACAATTTGGAACTCTCTGCCACAAGCGGTGGTATCACTAGAGCATATTGAATCATTCAAAAATCATTTAGATACCATCCTCAGAGGCTGTAACATACAGGGGTAAAGGTACTCTTAAGAACTAAGACCAAACAGGGACTCATATTCACACATGCATGCACAAACACACACACAAAAGTTGAACTTGATGGACCTGTGTCTTTATTCAACCTCAAATACTATGTAACTATGATAACTTTAATGAACCACTTGTGTCCCAGACCGTAGCCCCATTGATCTTCCGTTTTTTATGTTGTTTTGGAGTCTTATTCTCACACGCCTTTTAACCTAAGGTATCATACATCATTTATGTCAGGACACATAGGCTTTAATTTCTCAGCTGGTTTGGATGCGTATACTTTTATTTCCTAGGTTTTAAGTAGGAAGAAACTGAAGAATTTGAAAGAATGGGCATTCCTATACTTTATCCAGGAGCAACCTTTACATCATTGTGCTGCCACATAAATTCAACCCAAAATACACAGATCAACCATAACATTATGACTACCCAGCTAATATTAAGTAGGTCCCCCTTTTGCCACCAAAGCAGCCCTAACCACTCAGGACATGGACTCCACTAGACCTCAGAAGGCATGCTGTGGTATCTGGCACCAATCCATCACTAGCAGATGCTTTAAGTCCTGTAAGTTGTGAGGTGCAGCCTCCATCGGACTTGTTTTTCCAGCACATCCCACAGATGATGGATTGGATTGAGATCTGGAGAATTTGGAGGCCAAGTCAACACCTCAAACTCGTTGTTGAGTTCCTCAAACCATTCTTGAACTATTTTTGCCATCAGGGAATACCGTTTCCATGAAGGGGTGTACTTGGTCAGCAACAATGTTTAGGTAGATGTCACGTGTCAAAGTAACATCCACATGAAAAGCAGGACCCAAGGTTTCCCAGCAGAACATTGCCCAAAGCATCACGCTGCCTCTGCTGGCTTGGCTACCTCTTAGTGGTCATGAGGTTATCGGTGTTTAAGGCCTTGTTCACACCAAATGCAGAGCAGATCCGGTCAGGTTTCTGCACACGCAGTGCAGTGGGTTGTGCCGCGTTTTTAGTTCAATAGGTGTTTATTGAGATTTTCACAAACATACAGATATCAAACATATCAGCCCAAGAGGGCGACTAGCACATACCGGCACAAATATGCATAAAAAGTACAAGTCCCGCAACTCTCCAGGGTATAGCATTACATCCAGATGAAAGAGCTCCGTCATCTATGCCGTTGGTTCGGCAAATGCACAAGGGACCGAGTCCCACTCCAGGAGCATCGCATTCCTTCTGTCTCTCATGAGGAAGCAGTCGCAATAAGCAACAGCCAGCTGAGATAGAGAAGCTGAAACCAGCCATCCCATAGAGCTGTAATATCATTAATAAGTAAGCCATACCACAACGCCAATTTGTGCCATGTAAAACAGAACTTCCCCTACTAGAGGGGGATAACAGCCTAAGTAGAGGCAAAGAAACTAGCCAAGATTCGCAGATAAAGAAATACAGAGAATGGACGAGGACAGAAGGAAAAGGGAGACAGGGAGACAAGGTGAAAATGGGGTAGAGGACATCTCATAGGGGTGGAGTCACCCCGTACAGTGACCGACACTAAGGGGCCCAGACATTTAAACCACCCCCCCCTCGGCCGCATAGCATTAGAGTAATTAGCGGAGGATCTCAGCTGAGAACCCAGCAGATGCCCGGAAGTCATGCCACACGGACCATGTGATAGTGCATTTCCTACCAGTGTCATGCTCATCAGCCAGCAGTCGTTCCAGGTCAGCAATGCGGTCCATTTCCAGAGCCCACTCCGCCAAAGTTGGGATATCCGGAGTACGCGTTTTTGACGCGTTCCGGGCCGGTTTTGGTTAAAAAATATATATATTTTTTTTTAAGTTTAACATGGGCTTTCAGGCACTTGCATGCGTTTTTGATGCGTTCCAGAGCAGGTAAAATAGGGCTTGCCGCAGTTTTTTCACCTGCTCTGGATCTGGTCTGGATCTGCACGCTGCGATGTGAACTGGAGGTCAAAATACCATAGGAATACATTGGACGCAGTTTTGATCCGGTCTGCACCTGCTCTGGTCTGGATCTGCTCCGCGCTTGGTGTGAACAAGGCCTAATTGTAGACTATAAAAGTCTGCTGAATAAAATGACATCACCTAGATCTGATATTTATGTAAAGAAAAAGTTAAAAGTAAAGTGTACATTTTAATGCAAGAGAGCTTTTTCCCCGTTTTAACACTACATTGCAACGCACACAGTTAAATCGAACCCCCATGTGGGGAGTGCCCAGGTCTGCTATGTGGTGCAATGCCCTAAAAAATAATAGAGCCATAAGCAATTTTTCCTGCATCGAGGACCCAGTCAAAATTAATGGGCTGTGGTAACACAGCAAGTCACAACACACAATGAAGCACCTTGTAGCACATGCATTATGGTGGTGTAAACGGGCCCCCTCAGACATTTGCAAACTGGAGAAAGATGGGCAATGTGTGGCTATGCATAAAGCAACTATCTCACCAGAATTCAAAAACATGCTTCCGAGTCTTGAATGTTACCAACTCTTTAGAATAATACAAAATGTCTGCCTTTTTTATTTTAGGCTTAGTCGTCTTTTACTTGTTCTTCTGTAAATGTTTACAATAAAATACTCAAAACTTGCCAATGTAGAAACCTCTCTACTTTCAGGAACCACTTGTGTTGTCCTTGTGAAGTGCTGGAGGTCACAACAATGTTTCATGAGCTAGATAAAAAATGTTTATGGTCTGGAGGAAATTTTGTCACCTACTTTTTAAAAATGATGTTGTGACAAGGACGTCCTGAAAATGTCTCCTGCAGCAATGATTTCAATTTAGGCAACTGAAAAAGATAATTATATACTGACAGGGGTTGTCGCAGAGGGTCATGCCTGATTTACATAATAAAATTATATTTTAAAGCTTAACTCCTGCCAAAACCTTTTTGGATAGAGCATGGGAACCTCCATCCCTATGACACCAGAAAAAGAAATGAGAAGAACAGGTGACAACAGGACAGGAAATCATGGACAGTAATGAAAACCTGACAAACCTCACATTCTTTCCATGGGGTAAGACTGAGGTTTGGAGGCAGGGGAGCACTTACTCACAGGGCCATTTATAAGAAGTATGCAGGAGTGGTGGTCTTGAGTGCAAATACTTTACTGTTCAAACATCAGTCAAAGTAGGACCAGTCAGTGACACGTGGTAGGCATTATATAGCTATCTGCTTCCCGTTCAGATCACAGCTTCAGGGAAGTTATCCAGCTCCATCATCCTATGGAGCTCTGAGATGCCAAGTAACTGAAAGCTGAGAACCAAAAAGAAAGCTGATGTTGAAAAGGTGTGCCCCATCAAACCATGTATTTTAGGAGCACAATGCCAACCCATCACTGAGGCACCATGGTACACTTTCTGTAGCCCAAATAAATCTTTCCCTACCATGAAAGGGCCACTTGGTTGTATTTGCCCCTCCCCATCAAGGCCAAAATGTCCCAGTCTTACCATTTTTGCCTCTGATTCTGTCCCTGTTGGAGATATTTCCATTACCACCCGTCCCTGGGACACATTTTCACCTGGACAGAAAGTGGGATGAAAATTCTACAATGGGGACAAAGGCAGCGGAGTGTCCCGCTCAGCTCCTGTCAACCAGTGATGTCAGTGACCTGAGCATGAAGATGGCCAGAGCGTCACAGGCTGCTAAGAGCTCAAAATGAAGGAGTATTTGGCTCAGTCAGGGGAGGTAAAGGAAGTTTATCTTTACTTTTATGAGTAGGGCTGTGCAAATTAACAATTAATTTCTCGATTAATCGTTAATCTTCTTGATCGATTCAAATGTTTTAAAATCTTTCTGCACGAGCGCCAGCCAAGGCATTGGCCTATACACATTCAGCACAGCAATGAAGTAATAAAATTAACTAATCCAGCACGTTATTATTCTGAGTTGCCCCGCTCAAGCCGCGGCCATATTGAGTGGGGCACGTGAGATTAATAACGTGCTGGATTAGTGTGATCCTAGTTCATTTTATTACTTCATTGCTGTTCTGTATGTGTATAGGCCAATGTAGTTGGATCTGTATGTGCGTTATAATTAATCGAAATGAATCGATGAAAAATAATTTTGATTAATCGAACACAAAAATTTAATCAGTACCAGCCCTATTTATGAGGCTTATGCATAACAAACAATCTGGTCTTGGTCCTTGTTTAGACCGTCATACAGGAGCCTTTAGTTGTACCTATCCTCCACCTAAAACGTTCCCTGGATGAAAGATAAAGTCAGAAGAAGTTAGAACTTCTGTTACTTCTACACTTTGCTGGAGGGTTTAGGTCAGGGGTGCCCACAATTGTTTGTGTTAAGATCTACTTTTCAAATGACGAGCTACATGAGATGTACCAACAACAACAAAAACCCTCCCTCACTCTCTCCTGGCTGTCTCTCCTGGCTCTCCTGGCTCTCTCTCCTGGCTCTCTCTCCTGGCTCTCTGGGTGTCTCTCCTCGCTCTCCTGGCTCTCTCTCCTGGCTCTCTTGGCTCTCTCTCCTGGCTCTCTGGGTGTCTCTCCTCGCTCTCCTGGCTGTCTCTCCTTGCTCTCTCTCCTGGCTGTCTCTCCTCGCTCTCTCTCCTGGCTGCCTCTCCTCGCTCTCTCTCCTGGCTGCCTCTCCTCGCTCTCTCTCCTGGCTGCCTCTCCTCGCTCTCTCTCCTGGCTGCCTCTCCTCGCTCTCTCTCCTGGCTGCCTCTCCTCGCTCTCTCTCCTGGCTGCCTCTCCTCGCTCTCTCTCCTGGCTGTCTCTGCTCGCTCTCTCTTCTGGCTGTCATTCTTCGTTTTCTCTCCAGGTTGTCTCTCTTCACTCTCTTGGCTGTCTCTCCTTGCTCTCTCCCCTGGCTGCCTCTCCTCTCTCTCTTTCCTGGCTGTCTCTCCCCGCTCTCTCTCCTGGCTCACCTTGCTGTATTTTGCAAACACTGCAGTGCAACAGGCTGTGTAAACTAACATTCTTTGATGTAACACATAGCACTTCAACCACCAGAATCCACCAGAAAAGTGTCAGGGAGCTTGGCTCAGCAGACTCAGGCTAATAGGTAATCATGTGTGCACAGCAAAATAAATATACCAAAATGGAATAAAGGGGCCGCCATTCACACCCTTCCTGATCAACCATCATCAGCTTTGAGAGCTACTGGTAGATCACAATCTACCTAATGGGCACCCCTGGTTTAGGTCCTCAAAAGCACCTAAGATGAAATCCAGAAATGTTATAAGTTAAACAGAAGCGCTATCCCGATGGTTTTGGAGTCCAAAAGTATTAATTTCATCGAAGAAGTACAAATTAAATAAATACTTTCAGAATCCAGAACTGCTGATGTGGCCCTTCTGTATCCCATACACCATCTGGATCTCATCCAGGTTGCCTTTGAGACCCTTTCGTGTAAGAGTGCTGCCTAACCATAGTCATTGCACTCTACAATATGGACTTATCTCTACGTTGAGATCCCGCAGATTATGTATGTGAAGGCAAAAAACTGCAGTACATCTTTAAAATACATGCACATCTCCCCATGCTTTATCCCTTTAAAGACCGTGCAAGTACAGAGATATGTCTGTTGATCTGCCAGAAATGTACTGAGCACCTAATTTCCTGTCGAGGGCTGACAACACATTGAACTTAAAAAGCAACAAATGGTATCAGCCCTGCACAGTTGTATCTGCTAATCTATAGAAGCCTCCCACCCCCCTTTCCAACATAGGGAACACTTATTTTGTAGTCCAAGAGAAGAATTGGGAGGGATGATTAAACTCCTTAGGATAGCACAGGAAGGGTGAATAAGCCAGCTCTGAATTTTTAGCAGGATAAACAAGTATTTCTTTGCACTGACTGAACACATACACCAAAACGATGTAATTGTATCATTGGCAGAACAAATAAATAAAAAGAAAAAAAACTTCATTGTTGGGTTTATATACACTTTACAAAAGGATATGTTTACGGTAAATACATTCTTACCTGTCACATCTGAATTTGGCTTAGGAGCTCACAAAGGTCGGTGGACGTCTGATAGGTAAGATTACAGTATGCCGTCTATAAATCCAGCTCTTTGGTTTGCTGCTCAGCATGAGAAACGCATTTAAAGTCTGTAACTTCCTCATATCATTTTACTGTATCACAAAACAGAAGCTGTTTCCAGGGGAGGAATTGTAATCTTACTTTATTGATTCATCAGACAGAGAGACACTTTTCATGCCTTTTGAGGAATTACTTATGTCTTAGAATAATAGAGAATGCAGCTACATTGTGAGGAATAAATCAGGCTTTGATTAATCCGCTCTGTGGGATCAGTAACATCTCTTTTCACTCTCTCCGGTCTTGTTGGCACTTTTTTTGTCCTTTGTTTTTCTGTTTAATGAGAAGTTTTTTTTGTTCTTTTTCTTAACAGGGGGACAAGAAGACTGTATTCTATCCTACGAGCCAGTGACCAGGCAGGAGAGTAAGTAGACGGCAGATCTTGGGGGGTTCCAGTTCCATAAAATGCCTGGTTTACTGGGCAAGACTGGTTCTAGCCAAATATTTTTCTGTTTCTGTGTTTTTTATTTGGTTTTAATGAGTTTGCAATGCAGCTTTAGATAACTATAATGAGAATGGTCACAAAACTGAATAAGTAGTACATGAGGAACATTGTGTTTTGAGTATTAGAAATGTCCCATTGCACTCCAAACTCCAGACAAATTGCTCTATATAGCTACAGTGGGTGCTAAAATGGCCAACGGATGGTGCCATAAAACTAGAGGAAAGAATAAGGTCTCCAGCACACCGAGGTCCACTTTATCAATCTGTTTTTTATTGAGGTTCAGATAAACATGGGGTCACAAGCAATCAGAACGTTTCAGGAGCATATGCTCCCCCTTCATCAGGCAAAACAATGTGATGATCGCTTGTGACACCATTTTCTTTTTAGGACTGTAAAGGTAAAAGAGGTGGGAAGTGGGGGGGCACGGGGATGATGGATGGTGGGATAGCATAGAAGGTGGTAGGGATACGGGGGGTATGAGAAATAGGAGTGGAAGAGCAGGGGATTGGAAGGAAAGAGAAATGAGGATGAAGGAAGGGGACATAACGTGGAGGAGCCATTGCAGATCAGTTGGGTAATGACCTGTTGGCCCAGGCAAGTGAGATTTCAGATAGTTAGGAGACATCTGTCAAAATCTTCTAGTAAGCATTGTAAAGAATAGTAACTTGTATTCTCATATAAATGATTGCTCAGTCTCAGTGCCACATATACACAATCAGCAGCATGCAGGGTCACTCACTAACTTAAGGGTCACACACACAGTGTACTGGTCCTAACAGGCCACGGAGCAGTACAAGTCTGCGGCTCGGGGTTAGGGACCCCTGTTATACCAGACAGGAAGTGAGGGAAGCAACAGGAAAGCATACAACAATAAAATGCTGTTATGGGTTCTAGCATTCCCTTACTTAACTTTAAAAAAAAGAGTTTTTACTTTTGTCTATGTTGTTGGAGAGTTTCCTTCACTTTCTGTCTGGTAAAAAGGTTGTTCCTGGGACAGTGAGTAAGAGGAACCTTGGATAGCAGTGAAACTTGACAGGAGTTCTAATTCTCCTCCATTCTAACCAAAACTAAAAAGTGTTGGCTTTAGATACACTTCCAAATCCTCAAAAGATATAGTCTGGTTTTTTTTTTTTCAAGGCCCTGGAGATGGTCTGTTTTACTGTAGTAAAGATTTGGGTTAGTAGATGGAATTATGTACAGTCAGTCCACTGGTTGGCCAGTTATTTTTTGGCATTTTTGGTAATGTCTCCTAGCTCTGAATCACAGTAACCTACCACCCACAGTTTACATTTTGCCCAGTTTCAGGCTATCAATTTATCAAAATGGCAGTGAAAATCAACCTAAATCACATCATTGGCATAAAACGGCATTCCAACTTGGATCTCTTGGTCACTCAAACCTGGTGAACAATTGAATCCCTGGGAGGCACATTGTTGTGGTTTAAAGCCTATGCAGAGCTACAAACATGCCCATTTGTGTGGCCAGCATTAGAATGGCCATAACCAGCTAGTATATCTAAGGGTCAATCCTGAACTCTGAGCAGTGGAACTTGATGAGGGCACCATATTGCTGGCATTGCAAAAAGTGTGGAGTGCCCCTCATTGGGGAAAAATTCATCCGGGCTCAGCCCACAGAAGTGGGTCTTCTAGAAGCCAGCATTGTAGATTGACTTCTTGCCATGATTTCAATGTAGCAATTATGTCCAAAGTAACTGAAGTGGAATAAGTACTCATCAGCTATTAAGGCAGCTATTTAAACGATAATGGATTGCTATATATATTGTTTTCAAGCAACTATTTGGTCTTAAACGGCACATAATACTTTAAAAAGTGCAATAGCTTGAAAAATATCCTTTCCGTGTTTGTGTAATACATGGAAATAAATGTTATATACTGGATATAATTGTATGTTACATCTCTGTACAATATAGGTAAGGGTTAGGCAATACCATCTTAGGTTGCTTCCTCTTGGCAGTGGGAGGTCCACTTTACCAAAGATTAAGCCATACATGGTGATGGCCAAATCAGACAGCTGAGGCAGTTATGGGAGATGTCAACTATAGGGCTAATGGAGAGCAGCCGTATAGTGAGGGGGAGCTGCGAAACCTGTTAGGTGGGGAGGAAATTCAAGGAGGGAGCGACATGTGACAAAGTACATTGTGACACAGATGACTAATAATGAGAGTAAGGTGGAAAAAAAGAAACAGGGAAAGCATCAGGACTAATCAACAGGGTTTCATAAGAAGTGAAGCCTGAGGGAGGAACTGAGATACAGTACTTATGGGTATGCCAGAGAAGAATTAGTGCTCTGGACTATACAGAGAGTGTCAATACTGTCCATAACCCGTGCTAACATTTGGATTGTCAGCTCCTTTTTCAAATACTATGAAGTCCAAAGGTTGTGCTCACAAAGCCTTCTGTAATGTAATTGCAAAGTAGAGATCACCTCAGCCTTGTGAAAGTTTTTTTTAGAAATAAAGAAGTCTGTGAAAGATAATGTCTCAGTTTCGTGCGTGTGCAACTTTACCCTCTCTTTACTTGGGATAGGCGAACTCCGCAAATTACTGTTACTGTGGCAACTCAAGCCATAGAAACCTAGGTTGCCACCATACCGTTGATATCTTGTGTGGGAGCCCTGGAAAACAGCATCCCCACGTTCACTGCTCTAATATCTCTGTAATGAAAAATTATTATGTGCTGTCATGCTGTACCAAGTTCTAAAGGCAAGTAGATCCGGCACTGCAGGGGATGTTGAGAACCGTTGTCTTGAGATTGTTAAAAAAAAAACTACACCTGATTATGTTTTTGAGTGTCTGGAGCAGGTCTCTAGTGGAGTGATTGCTTTAGTAGAACTGGAAAATAAATCTTAAACCAAGGAACCAGCCAAAAAGGGAAAAGCTGCAATAGAATGTAAATGCTGTACAACAGTTATGAGCCTCCATATTGATTAAAGGGGATCATTGGCAGAAAGGGATAGACCTCAATATCATAGGTGGTCAAAAAAAACCCTGTGGGGGGCATAGCTCAGCAGTGTGATCAACGCATTATATTAGCTTCTGAAAACGCAGCTCGGGACGAGGTTGCTATTGAGCCTGCTGGACTGTGCCTAGAGGAAAGGTGATGTCCTCAAAGAAGACCAAGTTGTCCAAAACGGCAAAGGACTAAATAACTATATATCCTGCTGGAAACATGGATCCGTGGGACATTTGAACCAACAGAATTGAGAACTTTAATTCCAGTGCTGCAATCCAATCATCTTCTATATCCAACCATCTTCTATATCCAATCATCTTCTATATCCAATCATCTTCTATATCCAATCATCTTCTATATCCAACCATCTTCTATATCCAATCATCATCTATTCTATAAACTGTAATAGGCCTGGTCCATGCCTGTCTGGTAGTGCCTTGGGATATAAAGTGCTATGCTCTATGGGCTGTTCCAGGCTGCTTGTATTAGAGAAATTCAGTATGAGTCAGGCAAATAGATTTCTAGTTTACCAAAGTAAATGATGTTTAAGTTCAAAAAGACTATTGGGTTTAACACTTTGGGTGACAGTCGCGAGGAGGGCTTTGTACACCCAAAGGAACTTCATAATAAGGCTTTATAAAGGCTTAAGCACATTTATGGCACAGGTGAGACCCTGGAGTCTAACATAAAAGAGACAAGGGTCTACGGGCTATAAATATGATGGCACGCTATCCAAAAGTAGTGGTGCACGCACCATGTTTTGGCTGCTCGTGTAATGTAGTGCATGTTAGTGCATTGCCTTGGGCTGTGCTGTGCTGAAACACCCCTCCATGAGCAAGGTGCGTTGGCTTACCATTCATAATTTTATTTTAAGGCATTCCTTGGTATTTATATGTTTACTACTAGGGATGCACCGATACTGGTTTTTCGGTATCAAGTACGGGTACCAATATTTATATTTCTGTACTCACCGATACAGAGTACCGATACCAGTACTTCCACTGGCATGGAGCTGGCTTCCCGGGCAAACAGGGAGCCAGGCGGCACATCATTACCCACCACCTGGCTTCTTTATTGCCAGGGAAGCCAACTCCATGCTGTTTAGCCGGCTTGATGCTGATTGACCGGAAAGCCGGCTTCCTAGCCAATCAGCATCAAGCCGGCCTCGGATCTGATAATATGGTGACACAACCTCCACCCTGCAGACACCCCATTCTCCTCACACCCATATCCATCCTCAGGAGCAGTCATTACCGTACCACAAATGTCCCTCGGCCAGCTGGGCAGACACCGCTCTCCAAGCCGCTTTACCTCCCCCGCATCTGCCCATGTCTCAGTCTTGTGAGATGTACAAATGCCATCTGTCTCTGATCGGCCCTCGGACTCCTTCTGCTTCCCTGCTCCATGTTCCCTCGCGGCACTGCCGATTTATAGGAAATTTCCCTATGACCAGAAGTCCCAGTGTCAGAGAACGTATCAGAGCATTTGGGCGAGTATGATTAAGAGTTATCATGATAGTTTTATTTAAAAAGGAGTTTAAAAAACATACAACTATTGTTACATAGATACCACATATGTCCAAAAGCATGCTGTTTAACACCTCCTAGCCTGAGCCTTGTCCATGTAGATCATTCTATTGACATATATGAGAGGAACCATATATACAGTGATTAATAGTGAAATGCTTCAAGTCCGCATGCTCTTTTGTTGGTAAATATTGCTGGTCACACACCTGAATCAATTTGTTATGAGATTTGTTATGAGATTGAGCCATCAATCTGGTTTTTCCCCTACCAGATGAAATATCAGAAACATCAAAAGTTAAAGGGGTTCTAAACCCTCCTGTTTTATTTGCCTATATCTACTGCTTTCAAGCAGTAGATATATGCAAAAAGTTTTTTTTTTTAAACAAAAAAACTCTTTAACAGTGGTTTAAACTTACCCCGT